ATCATTAAATTTTGTTTCAGGTATGTGTATGTAAAGTACTTACGGATAATATATTTCCTACTGTGAATCTTGGCTTAAATGCTTGAAAGTAATTCGTTGAAGGCCAGAGAGCAGGTGTTACAAGTTTTTCCCTTGCATCAGAATCCCAGGCTGCGTGTAATATTTAAGTAAAAGCTAGCATGTTAGGAAAAAAAAAGAGTTTGCTATAAACAGTTGCCACATTTGATTTTAAAGAATAGATAGGTTATTTTTAGGATGTAATGGGAAAATGCTATCATTCAAATATTTTGTCTGTTGGAAACTGTGTGGTTGGGAGTTATGTAAAAAAGGATTTTGAAAAACAGGCTGAATTTTTTCCAATGCTTTTGTGAGTATGTAGAAATGCACACCCATCAGAACCAAGTACACATTGCTTTGGGAATTGAAGGCTCAGAAAGCAAACTTCGCTTTCTTCTCTCTTAAAATTATCATCCATGCAAATCATTGCTTATTTGGGGCAGCCAGGTTAATCTGATCTATCTGTACTCCCCTACTGAGTTGATATTTTCCTTCACTGTGAGGTGTTTTCTAATTACTTTGTGAAGAAATGTTTTAAATTGAGAGTAAAATGGAGTGCAGAGTTATGCTTGTAAGCTGAAAATGTGCTCTCTTTAATGGTTGAGATGGGGCTGACTTCTCTGTATAGAGGTCTCTGATTGTGCTATGACTATTCTATGCCTGTTTACCCAGGTCTTTCCTTGCTGGTGAAATCCCTTTGGAATATGGCGAGTTCATAATGTCAGGAGTAAATGTTTTCCTTTTAAACAGTTGTTTTCTCTTGTTTCCATTGTAGGAGTTATACTTGGAGTCTTGGCATTTTCCACTATTGCTAGCCTTTATAAGGTTCCTTCTTTTCCAGATTATCTCCAATTAAATAGATCTTATTTTTGCGTTCATTTAGTCTTCATGTTTAGTTTTTTTTTTTTTTTTTTTCTTTCACTAGATTTGGAACACTGTTATTTAGAGTTGATCAGCAAATGATTCTGGCTAGCAGACTACCTTTAGGTTTGAGTAGAGATGCTAAGATTCCAATTTTTGCAAGTCAGACGTAGCAAAACCTGACTCAATTCACAGTGGACTAGAGTGAAGGTCTAGAGGCAGATGCTCACATATTTATAAAAATAATTCCCTTTCAGTAATTCCCTTCCAGCTTTCTTTTGTCCATGTCCTATTTTCTACCCTAAGAGGGGAAAAAAAAAATAGGTCAGTATCATAGTAATACTAACCTGATGATGATAGTTGACTTATTCTTTGTGAGCACATCCGCACCGCTTCAGTTTAGCTGAAGGAAAGAGAAGGCAAGGGAAAATATAAGTTAATCATTACAAACTGAAAAACACACATAAATCAAGTTGGATAAATTAAAATTCAGATAAAGTACATGCACACATGGCATAAAATCACGCTTTTGTTTTCTTATTTTTAACAGAGAAATAGGTCTATACAATGAAAAAGTGACAGTGTAACCATGATAATAGATGACAACTGACCCCTTCTTTATGGGCATAGGAGGGTTCAGTGTGGTCTGTGGCAAAAGAGTATGCAAGCCTCCCAGACCAGCCATTGCACTCAGTTCTAGCAGATGGTTTTCATTTAGAAAGTCAGGCCTGGTGGTTTTAGATTTTTGTTGTTGTTCAGGAGAAGCCAAATCCAGATTTTTGACATGAAATCTGGCTTATAAATGTTGGCTAATTTTTTTTTGGACACTATGCAGGCCAAACAAAATTTACTTCTAAGCTTACTTGGCCTGTTGGTGGTCAGTTGGTGACCCCCTAGCTGTAGGTTTTCCAACAAGAACAGATGGAACTTTTTCAGTGCTAATGATATTAGTAGTTTAGAGGTGCTGTGGAACCCCGTTTTTGAGGAGGTAATACCTTCAGGTCTTGATTCAATAAAAGTGGATTGGTTATCAATCTGTGGTGGTTTAGAGAATGCAAAGACTTCTGTGGTTGGCCACATATCACTTAGACTGGAGAAGGGAGGACATACAATTTCAGTATGAATGAAATATGGGATTCAATAGAGGATTTTTTAAAAACCCTATGTGAGTGATAAACTTTACCTAGATATTAGAAAAGCTTCAGAGAGGAAGTAGCTCTGAAATATTAAATAGATTTTGATAGGAAAGGAAGAGGGGGCTTTCCAAGGGTAGAGGAAAGTATAAGTATCTTTAGAGTTATACTGTTGACTTTGATCTGTCTTAAAATGGTGTATTATTGGAATGATTGACAAGTAGACTACCTGAGCACATGAAATTGGTACCAACGGAAGGAAGACCTTGAACATCAGTCTACAGATCTGAGATTCGATGATATAATTAGGGGGAGCCATTCAAGAATTAGACCAGGGAAGAGAGAAAAACTTAAATGATCTGATTCATGTGTTCTTGTCCCAAATGCTAGACTGGGTCCCCTTACAGGGATTGAAAGGTTGCTCTGGGAGTGATGGTGGAGGAATGGAATGGTTAAAAATATACACCCTATTGATACTAGTTAGGAAGCTGCATGGTTTCTGGAGGCACCAACAGTTCTTAAGAATCAGATTTGTATTATTTATAGTAAATTACATCTTTGTGATTTCCAGATGAGACTATAAACATTGTTCAGGAGTCTCTCAGAAAATTTGGCCATTTAACTAGTGTGAAGAACATAGAAGCCTATTTGCATTTGGGTTTTGTGCAGAGAATATTTTACCACTATTAGAAGCCACTAATAGAGGTCATGAAAACAGAAATTAGATGGAATTAGTTTGAAATAGGCAGCAAAGAAATGCGATAACCTTAATTATTTTAACAAAAAAAGTTTAAATTGCATGAAGTTGCCACAATATGAAAATAGAATGAAAATACATGTAAACGTAGGTTATTAAAAGCATAATTTTTAAATGTTAAAACATTTATGCAAAGTAAAGTAAAAAAATTCACAATCGTAAGAAAATTGTCTCATATTAAAAGAAAAATAAAAGTCTAACCCATGATGTAGTGGTTAAAGTGGCTGGATCCCATGTGGCCAACTGCATAGTTTAAGTCTCGACCTGATAGAGTGGGAAATGGCCCATGTAAGTGTGCATGCATGCCCAACATCCCCAAAGGAGGGAGAAAGAGAGGATAAGGGATTGTGGCATGACCATGTCCATGTGCTTTTTTACTTTCTCACTTTCCCTCTGTCTTTCATTTCCTCTTCATTGAGTAAACATGCCCTCTTGAATATTAAAAAAAAAAAAGAATAAATCAAGATTTAGGGGGCATATTTTTTCTTCCTAAAATGCCAGTAGTCAAAATTCACTTGTGGGTAATGTGCCATACAAGGCACCTGTTGGTCAGTGCTTGAGAGCTGGTCAAGAAAAACCAACCATTGTGCCAAATTCTAAATAGATAAAAAATGTTCTAGACAGATGGCCATTTTGACACAATTGGCATAAACAATGTATGAACTGATGTGAATTGCTTTAACACATTACTTGTGTCTTCCAAGAAACTCCGTGTAGAATGCGTGTGACTCTTGTTCATCTACTCAACAGTAATTATGGATCTAAATTAATCACTTGGTTTATCACTTGCCAATTGCTCAATCTGGCCTCTCTAGCTACTTTAGAGACAAGCAAACAATTTAGTTAAACAATATTAAATAAATAGTCCAAGTTCTTAATAAAGAGGATAAAAATGACAAATCTTCAGTTTTGAGTCTTTTGCATAGTTAATAGAGCTATGCAAAATTAAATTGCTATTAGGCTATTGAAATACATTCATCATTAAACCAAGAGGTGATTTATTTTGAAGTAAGTAAATCAGGGGTACTATGGTAATACTTAACAATTACGGTGAAATTCATTAAGTCATGAATGAATGAAAAACTTCTATTTGGTGGTGTAGACTTTTCTTGTCTTTTCTTTTCTTTTTTTTGGAAACCATAAGCTGCTTTAGTTTTTTTTTATAGAAGGTAATAGGTTTATTTTATTTTATTTTTACCAGAGGACATGTGAGAGAAAAAGCATGATCCAGTGGGGCATGATCATGCTGCAATCAATAGTTTTTTCTTGAATGTTTCATTTTTCATTCTGTCGGGATTTGGGCATGCACAGACATGCTCTGTGTCAGGATTTGAACCATGATTGGCCATGTGGGATCCAGCTCCCTATGCACAGCTCTTAACCACTGCACCACAGGGCCAGCCCAGAAATAGAATTTAAACATATTAGTTTGTATTTTTTTTTTTTTTACAATCTCATGCTTCTTGGCTTGTAAATATATTTGACAATTGATTTTAAAAGAAGAAAATCAACACTACCCAGAACTTTGGAGACCTTGGCCTTTGCTTTTAGCTTCTCTAATAGCTATATTCAAAACTAAGAATATTGGCTCTCTGTAATCAATTCTATAAATTAACAGGATTAAATTAACAGGATTAGAGACATATTGGGGTTCTATTCATCATATAATCGGTTATTCAGGTTGTGTTTTTTTTATTTATAGTGCTCAGTATTGGAATTGAAAGCACAAGAGTAAGTTGACTGATGTTAAACGTCTCCTCTGTAAGAACACATCTATGTCTGTGAGAATGCATCAAATACTATGCCTGGTACAGGATGATACTTAAAAATTACTTGATTAGCTAATTTTCCTAGGCCATCCCAAGAGCTTTCAGTGACTTGAATGTTTCACGTAGGATGATAGGCTTTGGGGCAACAGGGTAAGATTTGCAAAGGCTGCTCTGAGGTAAATAGGAAAGGCTTTTCACTTGACCAACTGCTCAGCCACAACCAAAAGATATATTTTTCTCATTCCTAGCTAATTTGTTTTGCTTTAGTATGTTATATTGTTCTAATCATGTTGCCTCTTCTTAAACACTATTTTCACATGTATCAAAGGTTTTGATGTGTTAAGGGAGCAAAGTGGGAAAACAGTATAATCTACTTGATAATTATCCTTGAGTCATTCTCTTTGTGGAAAGATTTGAATATAAAAAATAAGATGATCACTGCTAAATTTTAAAGTAACAGCTAATGGAATTGGATTTAAATTGCCTACTTTAGTGGCTGGACAGTTTGTGATGACATAATATGGTACTCCATATTTCAGGCTTTCCCTTCTGAAAACCTTCTTCAAAAACGTGACTGTTAGCCTAGGCCCTTGCAAATAAGAAATAATAAAAGTAGTTGAGTTGAATGGGTAGGGAAGGTAAAAAGAGATCACTGATGTGTCTAGAAATAATCATTGTGGGTCTTTCTCCTATCAAATGAACATTTAACGTTTTAGAGTCACAACTGGCAACTCTATTAGCTAGTATTAATAAACTTTTTATAAAGTTGAAATTTTTGTAGTAAACATAGCCTGGCCTTGCTGGATGCCTGTTTCTGAAAAATTGACTAGCAATGTTTTACTATATTAGATTTAGATATTCTGTTTCCATTTTGGAATCTCTTATTTTCTTAGAGTAATAATGGATGTCTCTTGCTCTTTTTTTATTTGTTTTGTGGGTGACATTTTGGTCTTAGGGTGCATGGACTCACCAATGAGGGAGAGAAAGAGAGAGAGAGATATAGACAGTGAGAGAGTGAGAAATTACTCCCCAGGGATGATGGCCACGCCCCAATTTCTTCTCCCCCATTCTCCTCCCAGGATCTTGTGTATACACGCATACATGCCTGGTGCAAGTTTTAAACCACTGGGTCTGGGATTTGAACCATGGTTGGCCATGTGGGAGTCCAGTGATGTAACTGTTATGCCATCTGCTGGTCCCATCTCTTTCTTTTGTTAATCTCAGACATAAGTACATGGCCCAAGCAATCCACATAGTGGGAAGAGTCTCCTACATGAATGAGCAAGTGCTGTATAGAGCTTGGTAAGCAGGTAACAGAGAGGTGCCTCAACTACATAAAGCAGTCATAAAGAAAGATGTATTGTTAATATTTTGATATTTGATATGTGATTAAATTTTGTTCTTATTTATTCATGAAATCATTAGTGTGCCAAATGCTCCAGTCTAACAACTGTTTTTTTTTTTTTTTTTTTTTTGAGAGAGAGATTTTTCTTATAGAGCATGTTCGCCTACCAGAGTCAGAGACAGTGAAACAGAAAATGAGAAATCATCCCCCAGGTGGGAAGGCCATGCCACAATTCTTTCTCTTCCATTCTCCTCTTGGGATCTTGGGCGTGTACACACAAGTGCCTGGCATGAGTGTCAAGTTGCCAGGTCCAGGGCTCGAAATGTGGTTGACAATGTTGGGAGTCCATTGCCTTACTCACTATGCCACAAACAGAAGTATGACGTGGATTGTTCTGGTTTCAAGCTATCTCTGATTTTTATGTACTTTCTTTGCCTACCATCCTTGGAAGGCAGACAGATAATCAAGCAATTCTTTGTTATAATACAAAGACAAAGCAGAAGTACTACGATGACAATGAGATGTGCAGGGCAGCCAGCCTCTGGTTGGAATAGAGACATGGAGACAACAAGGAAGCAGAAAGTCATCGCTTTTCAGTTCAGTTAGTTAATTCGAAAAAGTGTCACACTGAAAACATTATTTCCCAATTAGCTAAAAATGGGAAGAAGAGAATCAGCTAACTAGTAAAGGTGAAAAAGAAGTGCCTAACTTGGTTCATCAGGACAGACGAGGGCATGACACTTCTAAGAAGATTGCACTTTCTCCCAAAGAGTAACAGCTGTTGTTGTACACCACAGAGCTAAGAAGGTAAACTGTGGTCGACCCGAGGCACTGTAATCCTTTTTCAAGGAATTGCTTTGTTTTTATTTTTAAGCAGTGTGCTTTCTAAATAATGTTAACATATTTTAGAATAGGGTAGATGAAAATCGAAGATATTTATACGTCATATATGAAATAAGACATGGGAAAGAAAGGCTGGTGTGAGACAGGATTAACCAGTTAGCTTTCTCATTTGTCCCGGTGCAGCTATGAATGATGTTTTTTTCTTAGAGAAAATAAAAATGCTTACAGAAAAATGTCAAAGCCATCTGACTATGTTTTTAGACTCTCTCTGGTGATTTAAGACTAAGATTTTATTTTATTTTTCTTTAAGTAATTGGGTCCTTCGAGTTTAGGAAGTGAGGTTTTAGGATGCTTTCAAATGAATGGTTCAATTTCCCATGGAGATTTGAAACTTCGAAGGCCTTTGACATTGCGCTTAGTAAATCTGCAGTAGGTGTTTGTACCTCTTTCTACATTTGATCAGAATAAGAGACGTGGTCGTGAAATATTGGGTTGTCGGGAAAGTCATGACACATCTTTTCACAGGAAAATAGAAAAATACATCATGACTTTTCTGACAACCCCATTAAATGTATGTCTCTCTGAATACATGTTTCCCTTTCATAGTTGTCATATGTCATCCTTTTGGTTTGTTTGATGAATTTATACAAAGTTTTGTTACCATAAATAGACCGTCAGGTTAGGCAAATGCATGCCATATGTTGTCAAAGTGTAGATGAAGGATATGGGCAAAGAAAAAACATGACAAAAGAATCAGATAATCAGAAAAAAAAAAAAAACTCTACATAATCCTGCTATCTGGGTAAATGAAACAGTCATATAGTCATCAATGACTTTCAGGGGTTTTTTAGTTATATTTTTCTGGTGTAGTGTTCCAGAAGGGGCTTTTATTTATTTTTCTGGTGTAATGGTCTAGATATGGTGAAAGAGAAGACAGCATTAAACATTGAGTTATACTCAGGGTTTTCTAGCAGATTGAGGTCTGCTCCCAAGAGTTTAAAAGTAGAGAACATCACCACTGTCACCATGTCAATTAATTGTTCTGAGTTCGCTTTCAATGGTGGGCTGTCCAGACAAAGTAATCAGATAAGAATTTAGCAGATTCTTAGGTGATGAATATATCAGTCTGCAGTGAGGTCATAGATTATGATAAAGGACTCTCATCTTCTCCAGGAGATGAGAACATTTCTGATTGAATCTGTGCTGGAGACTCTAGGTGATGTGATTCCGTTGTGGTTTTTGGAGCCCTAAACAGTTCTCAGGTTGGCAGTCTCTTGTCATATCAAACCACCTGAGTTTTTGGACACACTGGACATTTTTTCTTCTTAAGCAATCTCCACATGATTTTCTTCTAGATAGATCTGCTTGCTTCCCACCACTTTTTTTTTTTTTACTGATCTCTGCACATCTTTTAAATGGGGACAAATTCTATCTTCTCCCAAATATTTTTTCCCCGGAGGTGTTCCATCCTGTAACTTTCTTCTTCAGAAACTCGCCTCTTCTCTTTTAACAATTGGCTTAGATTGTTTAACAGCAGCACCCATAGTGCAGAGGTTAAGTGCTGGGCATAGACAGCTGGATTCCACACAGTCTACCACAATTTGAATCCCAGCCCAGGCAACTTAAGAAACACAAAGGTGCATGAGCATGCATGCCCAAAATTGGGGGAGCAAGGGAGCTTTCTCTTTCTCTGGTGAGCACACATACCCCCTGGCAAAAAAAAAAAAAAAAAAAACAGTCAGAAAAACAAATTGTTTTCCTTAAATATTAAGCCATAAGCTGTCTAAGGGCAAGAAGAGGAATATTTGCATTCCATTCTTTCAGTAAATCAGTAATAATAATAGGTAGCATTTATTGAGCAGTTATCCTGCCATTTACTTTGTTCTCCGTTTTATATAACTTATTTATGCCTCAAAAGTGTTTTTACAAAGTCTATGTTTATCCTACTTACTCATAAACTGAAGCATACATGTGATGTTGTATAAAAGAATTGGTACATGAACCCAGAAAATCTAACTTGGAAGTCTACACTCCCCACATCGTTATATTGCATTTAGGTAATCACCAAAAAAAGTACAAATAAAAAAGTTTTATTTCTAAAGCCAAACAATAGGAATACTCATAACTTCCTGTAAAGTTATAGGTTACATGAAAAAGTAATCTTTAATATTAGCACATTGATTCCACAAGTGCACAATTCAGAATAAATCTATTTTTATATACTTTTATGTGAAAGATTGTCAGGAATATGAAGACTGGGAAAGAAAGACTTTTAGCATCACTAGTCTTCTAGGAGATAAGTAAATAGCTTTATTGGACCTACCACTTAAGAAGTCACCTTCTCATTTTTTGGGCAAGGGCATATGAATTAATACACATTTCTGCGAGGTGTCCCACTAAGTTTTCAAGGCCCACTGGTAGACCACAGAGTAGTAAAATTTTATATACATTGCTGTCTTACAATAATTTTAAGACTTTTCTTAGAATTTGAATCTAATGACTACATAGATAATATTTTGGCCATTTTTTATTACAAAACAAGGACAGGGGACCAGCAATTGGCTTAATAGTTATGTCACTGGACTCCCATGTAGTTGACCACAGTTTGAGTCCTGGATCCAGTGTCTTGAACTCACGCCAGGCGTGTGTGTGTGCGTGCCCGCCCAAGATCCCAAGAGGAGAATGGAAGAGAAGGGATTGCAGGGTGGCCATCTCCCCGGGGTGTAATTCTCGTTTTCTGTCTCTCTCTCTCTCTCTCTCTCTCTTTCTGGCGAGCGTATGTGCCCTATAGCAAAAACCTCTCAAAAAACAAAACAAACAAACAACAACAAAAAAAACAAGGACAAAACCCAGGTGTCTGTATTTCACCTAAGAATAATGAATACTAGGCTGTGTTATGACAAAAGGCTTTGTGGAACATAAATAAATAGATAGATAGATAGATAGATAGATAGATAGATAGATAGATAGATAGCTATCACAATGGGACCAGACAGAACTTACTGATTAAAACCAAGGGCTATCTGGGAAAGTTGGATTTCTGTCAGACCCTGAAAGAATTAGTTATCTTTTATCAAAATTGTATTTTGAGCTCTCTGAATTTATAAGAAAAAATACTGTTTCTGATACTAAAGTAATCCCTATTCTTATCTTAAATCTCTGTTTTCTAATATTGCTAGGTTCCCCCCACCCCTTTTAAGTTATCAGTTAATTTATTCTGGTAAGAAAGCTCAGGGATTTCTGAAGTACTGAGATGTAATGATGAAAACGTTATCATTATTATTTTAATTATCAACTGTTCGTGCTTGAGTCAAAAAAGTAACCAATGAAATGTTAATTTTTGGATACTCCAACTTCTAGTCATAGGTGTAATATTTGAACATATGTCACCAGTGTTTTTATCCAACAGTATGTTTAACCATGAAAATGTTTCCTGTCAATGGTATTTTACTAATAATTATTAATTATTTTTATTCTGATAAAAAATAGATCTAATGCCAGAAAGATTTGGTCCCAATGTAAAAAAACTTAGTTATCCTAAGACCTACTGCTTTTCTTCTTTCTGAATTCCTGTGCATCGTTAAGGACTTTTTAAATTAAATATTTTGATTTTTTTTTTTTTAACTCACCAGAGGGTGACATGCTTACCAGACAGAAAAGAAAGAAATCATTCCTCATGGGATATGGTCACACCACAGTTCTTCTTCCTCCATTTCTCTATCCTGTCAGAATTTGTGCCATGCAAGCACATGTGCCCAGTGTATTTTTTAAGCTACCTGGGCTGAGATTCAAACCTCTGTTAGCCCTGTGAAATCCAGTTCCCAAAACAGAGCACTTAACCCTGCACTATGGAGCTGTCCAGATATTTTAAATTTCTGACATTTGAGAAAATCACACATACTCTCTGAAGCTTCTATACATTTGGTGGCTATTTTTCTAACTTGATATCTAAGGCAAGTAAAATTTATATTTGGAAGCTTGACATAACTAGATTCAACTGGGGAAGAAATAATTAATTGGCCTGGAGGGTGGAGGTTCTCCTGCTCAGTGCTTGGGTTAATAAAAGCTTGCTTTGGAGTCAAAGCAAACCCTAGTACATTTGACTGCAACTGTTTGCTTTTTTTTTTTTTTTTTTTTAATCTCCAAAGATTTGGTTATTGAAGTAGTTCTGCAGCTTTTTTAAATGCTACTGACAAAAACAAAACAAATATAAAACAAAAACAAAACACAACGTTTTCATTTCAGAGACTTTCAAACATGCACAAAAAAGAAATAATCAATGAAATCCCATGTCTGATCACGCAGTATCAACAGTCATTACCCAATAGTGGCTGGGCCTGCTCCAACCACATTTTCTTCCTTTCCACTTCTCATTTTGCTTTGAAACGTACCCTAGATAGTACATCAACTCATTAGTACATTTTTGGGTTCTTGTCTTTAAAAGGTAAGTTTTCTTTTATCCCCATATTGGTCACAATATGACATCTAAAATAAAAAAAAAAAAAAGAAAATCTTAAAGTCATCAAATTTTCAATCAGTGAATTTCTAGTTATCTCAAAATTTGTGATGTAGTTTAACATGTTCTTCTAAACTGCCTTTGTATTTTTTTCCTTCCTTCCTTCCTTCCTTCCTTCCTTCCTTCCTTCCTTCCCCCCCCCCCGTCCTCTCTCTTCATTTTCGTTTAGGGAGAGATTTTTGCTATACGGCACGTGCACTTGCCAGAGAGAAAGAAAGTGAAAAATCAGTCCCCAGCAGGGATGGCCACACCATTATCCCTTCTTCATTCTCCTCTCAGGATTTTGGGCATGTGTGCACATGTACCTGGCATGGTTTTCAAGCCACAGGGTCTGGGATTTAAACCGTAGTCAGCCATGTGGGAATCCAGCATCTTTACACCCACACCACCTCCTGTCCCCAATTTTTATATGTTTTAATTCAATTTAGTTCTTATTCTTATTAATGATTAAATTCTTAGTTCTCAAGATTTGATCCTGGTGCTCTTTAACAGCTTTCTTATTCTCGGATATGATAAGATATTCCAGGCTCATCTTGTATATTTCATGATATGCCTGGATCAGTTATTTCCTAATGACCCCACATCCTTTTAGGCTGATATGGTATTTCAAGACCCGTAATCAGAACACTAGGGTTACCTATTACTACTGAGTTGATTATTGTTGCTAATTGTTTTCAGCACATAGAGTTTTAAAATGTGTTTATCTTTTTTCTTACCAACTTCTTTATAAATTTAACATCAATTCTTTGTTCACATAGACTTTTTTTTGCTTATATGACTTGTTTGATCCAGGAAATCTGAAGTAGCTTACATTTTACAAGGATGTTTATTTGCATAGATGAAACGCTTGGTGGATAGCAACAGGATTTCAAGCCATATTAAAATGTTTTATGGTAGCATCTTATGTCTTAAAATTTTATATAAATAAGCAATCTTTGAGTTCAATTTCTTCTGAAAATCCTTTCTAGAAAATATATTTGTGTGCTGGAAAATACACAATAGCTTAATCATGATGTGAATATATTAGTAAATCAAAATCTACTGATGAATTAGTCACCATTTTTCTAATTAGAGTGTGAAATCTTAATTTTTTTGGAGTGTGATTAACTGATAATAACTATGTTATGGTGTTCATGCAAAAACCTGTCTTGATGGGCATTGCAATATAAAAAGATCCAGTTAATAGGCAAAATGAAAACAAAAGACAAACAAGTACTCATTATTTTCCTTTCAAAATGTTCTGAACACCTGAAAAAAATACAACAGTGAAATTTCAGATACATCAATATCAAGATTAGTATTACTAGGTATTAGCTTTTGTATAATTGGCAGCTGAGGAAAAGGAAAAGTTAAATTTAGATATTGCAACTAAGAAATTAGGCAGTTGGTGCACATTATTCTATTTATTTAGAAAAATTAAAATAAAATTGAGCAAGTATTTTATCTGACTTGACTTATATAATATGGATAAAATTGGACCAGACTGTGGGATGGTGGTGGCTAAGGTGGCTGGATCCCTCTCGGTTGACTGTGTGGTTCAAGTCCTGGACCCAGTGGCTTGAAAGACACACCAGGCACATGGGTGTGCATGCCCCAAATCCCAAAAGGTTGGATAAATGGAGGTAAATGGATTGTGGTGTGAGCCATCCTTCGTGAGAATGCTTTCTTGCTTTCCTTCTGTATCTCTGTCTCTCTCTCTCTAGCAATCATAGTTACCTTCTAGCAAATTTTTTAAAAAATCAGCTATTAAGGGGCTAGCAGGTGGTGTGTTGATTAAGGGCGCTGGACTCCCACATGGCTGACCGAGGCTCAAGTCCTAGACGTGGTGTCTTGCTTTCTCACTTTCTCTCTCTCTCTCTGTCCATCTCTGGTCAAATTAAAAAAGAAATTAATTTAATAAACTTAAATAAAACATTTCTTTAAAAAAATCAGTTATTAAGCCTAAATCCTCAAAATTGTCATTTTTCAATAAAGCTGGTAGAAATTACAAGGGGATGGATGTCTGTCACCAGAAGACTAGTAAAATATTTAGAGTATAGCACTAAAAAAATTGATTTAGCCATTAAAAAGAATGAAACAAATCTGTAAGTGCTGCTATGGAAATTGCCAACATTAAATACAGGTGGGTTAGAAACAAGGACCCTAGAACCAGATGTCTGACTTCATGCTAACTCCATTACAGTAACCTTGAGGAAGTTACCTAAACTCTTTACATCTCAGTTTTTCTTAATCTGTAATATAACTAGTATGCTAACATGTAGCTCTGATGGTGGAGATTAACTGACAGTCATGCCTGATACATGATTATCAGAGGCTAGATCTTCTCCCCTTTCTCCTCATTCCTTTATCCTTTTTCTTTTCCCCTTTGTTCTCCTCCATATTTTTACAATCTTCATCATCATTGTCATGCTAAGTGAAGAATAAAAGCTTTACATAATTGTTTCTGAGGCCAGATCTTACTGTATTTATGTTAATGGATATATATTTAAACTTTCATACGTCTATCCGTAAACATTTATGAAAAGATACATTAAAAACAACCAGAGGGACCAGCATGTGGCATGGTGGTTAGGTCACTGGACTCCCACATGTCCAACCATGGTTTGGCCCTGAACCTGTGGCTTGCTTTCTCATCTTTCCTCACTTTCTATCTCTGTCTCTCTCTCGTGTATACCTTATAGCAAATTTTAAAAATTAATAGTAATAAAATAAATATTCAAAAATAAAAAGCAAAAATTATTACCTCTGGAGATGGCCTTGTGACCTAGTCGTTAAGGGAGCTGGAACTGACATGGAGATTCAGGGTTAGAATCTTAACCTGGGACTCCTCTGTGGGAGGAGTGCTTTCAGGGAGTAAGAGAAATAAAGATGTTCTGCTGAGAATTCACCCTACAGACTCCATCCTCGAGTGGTAGAGCTCCCTGTATCCTTCTCTCTGTTTCTTTCTATCTCTATGTCTCTCACTGTCTTCATTTTTAAAATTTTTCTTTTTAAAAATTGTTTTAGGTAAAGTATTTTCTTGGTTCTCAGATCTTCCTTTATCTTGCTAATAATTCCCTTTTCTCCCTCCCATTTAGGAGAGGCAAAAAAGGGCAGGTCTTCCGAAGAAGACTGACTCCTCCATGGGAGCTAAGAGCTAGGGCTTTTGCACAGTGTGCTCGTGCGTCACACAGTTTTCATTTAAAAAATATTTTTGTTGTCTTTCTTTTCTTTTTTCTCTCACTCCTTTTGTTTTCTTATCCTTTCTTTTTTAACCGAATCACTTTGCTGCTCAGCCTCCATACACTGAGTGTCTAGACAGGTCTAAGTCAACCCTAGCCAAACATCCCAATACTATTAGGGTCAGCATATTCCCCAATTCCCACTGAATCTGCCACACAAAGGGAGAAAAATGGAACAGAAAAGATATTGCAGACCACCTCCTCCTGCACACCTCTGAGTGCTCAGATCGAACTCCTAGAAATTAGGAAGAAATGAATAACCCATCAGATGACAAGAAATCACTGGAGAGGCACAAGAGCTATGAGGAACCAAGAAAAGACATCTCCCCAAGGGAGAAGAATAACTCCTCTTTGTCCACAGACAGTACAAGGGAACTCACATTAAAGTCTGATAAAGAATTTAGAATATTCTTAGTGACAAAGCTAACAGAGATGCAAGATAAGAGAGACAATGAACTTCAGAAGAGATGGGAGAAAAGAGCTGATGAGTTCCAGGAGGTGAGGAAGTTCTTGCATGATCTGGAAGAATCAAATGGAACTATTGTAGATGAAGGCTATAATACAGGAAGTCAAAACCTCCCTTGAAAGTATTAAGCAGGCTAGATTATACAGAAAATCAAATCTCAGATGTAGAAAGCAGAATCACTGGACTAGAAAAATCCACCATAAAGAGAGAAAATAGCCCATAAAAATGAGAATAATATGCAAGAAATACTAAATATCATTAAACGTCCAAACATTCAGATAATGGGTCTCCCAGAAGGTGAAGAGACTACTAATAAGGGCATTGATAATACATTCCATGAAATCTTGAAAGAAAACTTTCCAAACCTAGAGAGGCATTCAAAGATCCAGACCCAAGAAATATGAAGGACCTCGAATAGAATCAACCCAAGAAGATGTTCTCCAAGACACATCATAGCCAGATTGAGCAAAACCACAGACAAAGAATACTAAGACTGACAAGAGAAAAATGTCAAGTTAACTACAAAAGATATCCCATCAGGCTTACAGCAAACCTCTCATCGGAAACAATATGAACAAGGAAAGAATGGGAAAATATATTCAAAGTGTTGAGTGAAAACCAATTTTAGCCAAGAATACTATATCCAGCAAGATTATCCTTCATATGGGAAGAGAAAATAAGAACATGCTCAGATAAACAAAGCCTGAAGGAATTTACTGACACCAGACCAGTTCTCCAAGAAGTTCTAAAGGGAGTGCTATATCAGGAAAACTAAAGTCAAACACACAGAAATAATAGTTCAAAAACAACTAACAAAATGGCCAGCTAAGGACAAGTAAAGAATTGAATGCTGTCTTCCAGAATTTAAATGAAAGATCAGACTACAACAGAAGATAGATTATGTACATGAGACTGAACTGGTGAAACAGAATTTTATGACTTTTTACTAAACATTACTGATCTTCTCCTATGCTTTGTTTTCTAGAGTTAAGCATTTTTGTTCTCTCTTGAGTTGTTGATAGGTTCATATACCTACTATTTGAACAGAATCCTAACCTGTTTCCTGGCTTTAAATCTTAAGCAAAGTTCTCTTAACATTTTTTTATTTTGATTTATTAAAGTTAAAACTGCCTTTCTTTAAATTAAATAAATATATGAAAAAAGTACCTAAAATAAAAAGAATGAAAGAATCTCGACCCGGGCAGCTTGAAAAACACAGTGGGTTCATATAGAGTTAACAAAATTAGTACCATAGGCTACTCTTTGGGAACAAAAAATGAAG